GGGAGGACTTGTGTGTCACTATTGCCATAAGCTAGGACACATGAAGCATGATTGTAGAAAGCTTCAGAACAGAAATAAAAGAAATCTCTCTGCCCATGTTGCATCCACCAATGATACTTCTGATCAGTCAATTCTTATCTTTGCAAATGAATTTGCCAAGTTTTCATTGCACCAGGAATCATTAAAAGCTTCATCTACTCCTGTCACAACTATGGCTGACTCAAGTAAGCCAAATACATGTCTCATTTCCTCATCCTCCAAATTTGTCATTGACTCTGGTGCAACAGATCACATGTCAGGTAATCCCGGTCTCTTTGCTACTTATCAATCAAAAACCCTTTCGAATGTGACTTTAGCAGACGGGTCACCATCCTACGTTCTTGGGTCTGGCACAGCTTCCCTCGTCAAATGTCTTAAATTTACCAGAATTTTCTTTCAATTTAATCTTTATTAGCCAACTTACTCGTGCTCTTAACTGTTGTGTTTTATTCTTTCTCGATTATTACTTGTTTCAGGATCTTACGATGAAGAAGATTATTGGTAAAGGACATGAATCTGGAGTTTATATATTCTTGACAGACTAAAATCTAAACCTATCGCTTGTTCTAGCATTGCATCCCTGTTTCAAGCACATTGTCGTTTGGGCCATCCATCTCTTCCTTCATTGAAAATCTAAAACTGTTCATAAAGCCCTTTCTCATCCTGGTTGGTGTAATGCAATGGTAGAGGAAATGAATGCCTTAGATGACAATGGTACTTGGAAATTGGTAGATTTACCTTCAGGGAAACAGGCAATTGGATGCAAATGGGTGTTTACTGTTAAAGTTAATCTAGATGGGTCAGTTGCTCGGCTAAAAGCTCGTCTGGTTGCTAAAGGATATGCTTAGACCTATGGAGTTGATTATTCTGATACTTTTTCCCCTGTGGCTAAGTTCACCTCCATTCGGCTGTTTATATCTATGGCAGCTACTTATGATTGGCCTTTGCATCAACTAGACATCAAAAATGATTTTCTTTACAGCGATCTTCAGGAAGAGGTATATATGGAGCAACCTCCTGGGTTTGTTGCTCAGGGGGAGTATGGGAAAGTATGTTATCTTTGCAAATCTCTATATGGTTTAAAACAGAGTCCTCGTGCTTGGTTTGGAAAGTTTAGTCAGGCTGTTGAGAGATTTGGTATGCTGAAATGTAAAACTGACCATTCTGCTTTCTACAAACAGTCTGAAACTCGCATCATTCTTCTAGTTGTGTATGTGAATGATATTGTTATTACTGGGAGTGATAGTGTGTGCATCACATCTCTTAAGTCTTTTCTCCATACCTAGTTCCACACAAAAGACTTAGGGATATTAAAGTACTTCTCCGGGCTTGAAGTTTCAAGGAGCAAACAAGGTATATTCCTCTCTCAGAGGAAATATGTGCTCGACTTATTAACCGAGACAGGGGAATTTGGGGCAAAGCCATGTAGTGCTCTGATGGTTCCTAATATGCAGCTTACGAAAGATGGTGAACTATTTGGAGATCCTGAGAAATATAGAAGACTGGTCGGGAAGTTGAACTATCTTACGGTGACTCGTCCAGATATTGCATATTCAATAAGTGTTGTCAGTCAGTTTATGGTCTCCCCAACAGTTCATCATTAGGCAGCTTTGGAGCAGATCTTGTGTTATTTGAAAAAGAGCCCCTGGACGTGGTATATTATATGCCAATCATAGTCACTCTCATATTGAATATTTCTCGGATGCAGATTAGGCAGGTTCCAAGGTAGATAGAAGATCCAAATCAGGTTATTGTGTCTTTGTCGGAGGAAATTTAATATCATGGAAGAGCAAGAAGCAGAATGTCATGTCATGATCAAGTGCAGAGTCAGAATATAGGGCTATGGCATAAGCTGTTTGTGAAATAATGTGGATATACCAGTGCTTGACTGAAATAGTCCTTGAAACTTCAATACCAGCAAAATTATGGTGTGATAACCAAGCGGCTATTCATATTGCATCTAATCCAGTGTTCCATGAACGAACGAAACACATTGAGATCGATTGTCATTTCATCCGTGAGAAACTACAACAAGGTTTGATTTCCACTGGGTACGTGAAGACTGGAGAACAATTGAGAGATATCTTCACAAAGGCTCTGACTAGGATTCGAGTTGATTATCTTTATAACAAGCTGGGTATGATTAATATCTATAATCCAGCTTGAGGGGGAGTGTTACAGATGTATATAAGTTCCAGGATTATAGGGATCACATTGATCTTGTATCCTAATAGAGATTGATCACCTACCTAGTTTAGAACACTACAATTGTATATAAATATGTATCATTTTATTCTATGAATGAAAAATGTGTGAATATTCATCCCTAATACGTTTTACAATATTATTAAGGAAAAAAATATTATTTTTAAATAAATGCTCACTTTTTGGTTAAATATGTCTTAATGAAGAATCATATCAGGGGGTTATTTTTCAAAACCAACTATTCAATGTTATAATATATATTACGCAAATTTAAAATGATCCAAAATTGTTATGTATTACCAACTTCAAGAAAGTAACCAAAATTTTCGTAATTGATTACATATAAAACAGTAAATTAGTCATAAGAGAAACAAAAACCTAAAGAAACATAATCCCTCCTTCAGTTTTTCAAAGCTAAAATTCCTAAGTGCCTTGAATTTTCTACCTTAATTTTTAGATCACCAATCATGTATCGGCTTTAAGGTCTTTGCTTCCTCTTTAGCAGCAAGTCCTGAAATAGTAACATAAAAATATTCTTAAAACTTCCATAATTATAAAACAGTGAAATTATCTTCTATTCTTTAAATATAACTATAATAACCATAACAGAATGACTTTTTAAGTGAGTAATGAAATTCTATTACCCTAAAATTATCAAATTACCGAAATTTTGGTTGAGATAAGAAGAAGAAAAATGATGAGAAACATCTTAGTTTAAACTTTTTGCATACAATGGCTTATTGTAGTGAAAGATAGAATATCATTTGGGGTTTTAAAGTTATATTTTAACAGTTTTTATTTATCTATATTTTAATCGTGCAACATAGTGGTTTCGAGCTTGAAATTTCATAAGGTCGCCACTGTTCAAGTCTCCATAATCATTTCAGCCTTGAGAATTATCTTATCTGCTCCGGGCCTCAGGATATTCCCCAGGATTGCAGGTAATTACTAGGCTGGAGGATGCCGGGTAAACTTGGATACCCACCCCGACTAGGTATTTTTGCGTCCTTGTACAACCATCACGACACGATTTGAAGACTTTGCGACGCAATTTATCATAGTAGTAACCTCAATTTCTTGTAGTGACCATTGAGAATTATTTTCTCGAGAAACGGACAATGTATATAAAAATACCACAACATGGCTTATTACAAACTAAACAACAGCAAATACATATAATGACAAATGTTGAAATGTGAAAGAGAGGAAAAGAGTCATTACTAGGTGCTTAACTAAGTGTCAACTCAGTAGAAAAACTTAATTCACTTTCTCTTCTTCTTTTGCTTACACAAATGAAAGAAGAATGGACTTATATAGGGATAGTAAATGTGTGCTATTATCTGCTATAATGAGCCGGGGGTAGTGAGTGTGTTTATTTGCTGTAACGAGCTGCTATAACGAGCTGTTAAGTGATATTTAATGCTACACGATTCCTTCCCAGTTCCCACAACCGAGGGGCCTTGGTGGTAAGCTAGAATGAGTAACCCTCTGTATCATTTTACATATTTAATTTGGAAGCTTCAAATCAAATAATCAAGGGGTCTAACTCTAAATTAAATTATATGAAACTGAATAGGATGGCATTCAAGAAGCTTTAGATCTTTATTATTTAATACAAATATAATTAGGTTGGGCAATAAATGATGTCCTTCATTTTTAATGAGGCCGAATAAGATTTTGCCACTCTAAGTTTGGCAAATCACCCTTTTCCATCCTTGGTTTTGCAAACTATCACGTTCCACCCTCCGTGGATGATGTCGTTTTAACTTGTTACATCAATCCACAGCCCATCTCAATTCATTACTCCTAATGCTGTCGTTTTAATTTGCTACATCAATCCTCGGCCGTTCATCGTAACTCATCAACTCTCTTCATACATCAGCGTTAGGTCTCATACTAAACACAAGATCAGTGAACTACTAACCACCCCGCACTATTCACTCATCATAAATAACATTAATAACATTAACATATACCTCTATTGCTCTGTCAACGGCTCATGATTGCAGACAACAAATTATTATTATGCTCCCTTCAACATCAAATCAGTTGATTCATATTTAATATTTAAGACCTAAGACTTAAGCCACGCGGATCATGCTATTCTTCGTAAATTAATCGAATCAAAATCCTTGGCAAATCTTTCTTATATTCGTTTTTAGTATCGACCCATTTTCTTTTCAGAACTACTTAAATATAAAAAAATAAAAATAAAATTCTTAAATTTTAACGCTCAGAATATTTACTCCTTAACTATAATATATAAATTATATAAAATATATTTTTATAAATGATACTAAGACAGAATTGTTTTATTTTGCTTTGCGATTTTTTTTACAAAATGTTTTAGTTATTTCATTTTTAAATCTTGCGTGATTCAAGGGAGACCGAAGATTGGAACCAATTCTTGTCCCTACCCCGAAATTGATGGGAGGATGAAAAATTATCCCATTCCCCAACTCATCCCAATCTTAATCCCCGGTTCAAAAGGGATGAGCCCTATCAATTTTGCCATCCCTCTATGATCAATAATCACTTATTTAGCGATCACAAAGAATTGATTAGGAAAAAAATAAATTACTGACAATTTTCCAAAGAGGACGATAGATTTGGGCAGCCCATTTAACTTGGTCAAAATATTAATTCACTAACAATCTCTTCCAAACTATTTAAACATGGAAACATATAAACATTGAGTTGATCATTCCATCCCCGAGTAATTTCAAATTTCAGTGGAGCACAAGAAACCCCCAAAGTAAAATTCTCAACAAGATATATAGCCAGAACAAATTCAAAAATTTCATATAGAAGATAGCTCTCTAAAACTTATTTATGGGTTTACAATGGAAAATCATTACTAAGGTCAAAACAAATAACTAAAAGGAACGATACATGGCATGAGATTCTCAATTCCCCTAAAATCGACTCGAGACTAATAGAAATTGAATCTCCAAAATGGATGTTCTTCACTTATCTGGGTGGAGGAGAAGGTGGTGGAGGCATGTGGGATTTTGCAAATCCCACCCATGCAACAATGCCAACAGCAAGGATCACCCATCCAAAAATGTCATACTTGAGATCACTGCTTTTTTTCTTTTTTGAACTCTGCAAGAGGTAAGGAGAGAAAAAGAAATTAGCTAAAGAAGAACGCATGAATATGTCAAACTAAGGCACATAAAAAACTAATAAGAAGAGTGCAGAACATTCCATTCACATGAGATAATAAAGGCACCGGCTGTCACATATACACCACTATTCTCAAATGTAGGAACACAGAGATTAACTTCTAAAAATGTAAATGAAACCCCATATTTAAAACTATGTAACCTTCAATCATCAAATAATGTGCATCTAAAACACATGAACAGAGATGAAGGTTGACAGAGATACAAAAGACCAAGGATCTAAACCCTTTTTCATCCAAACCACTCTTTTTTTTTTAACAGGATACAATTAATCATTGTTATTAAGATATTTTCCATCAGTTTTAAAATAATTGAATTAAATTTGTATGGCTAATGCAGACAAAAATTAAGGAAGCTGTATATGTTTCAACTAACATTATTAATAGTAGAAAACACCAAATTGCAAGCATGCACACCACAAACAAGAAAAAAAAAAAAAGACAAGTTTGGGTGTCACCTTTGCACCCGAAGAAGTAGAAGAAGGACCAGCACTAGCTCCCATAGCTTGTTGAGCTAAACCACCATGCTTGTGGATCTCCATGTGTAATTCTGGAGCCTAGGGAAATGAACAAATTGAAATACAACATCATTTCAAGCAGAGAAGAATTACTCCAAAAAAGATGAGTACCATTGAGCCATGGCAGATAGAAAGAAAATTAGAAAAGGCTAACACTGCAAAAGGTTTACTTTTACCACTTATATTAACGAGTTGTCATCTGTCACTTGTCAAAAAACAGGTACATCTTAGACACAAAATACCAAAAAAAAAAAAAAAAAACACTTATATTAACGAGTTGTCATCTGTCACTTGTCAAAAAACAGGTACATCTTAGACACAAAATACCAAAAAAAAAAAAAAAATTCCAATGCTAAAATCTCAACAATTTATGCCTATCATAAAAATGAATCATCAGAAATCTCACATGCATGAACAAATTTGGACAACCAATTCTATAAGTACCCAAGTGTAAAGGAACCCAAACAAGTCCAAAAGCATGAAGCAGCTACATTAGAATGATCCAGCTCTTACCTAACACTTCAGTGCATTCAAATACTTCTATCTAATTTTTACAAACTTGTGATATTTTCACTTAAAATACCCCAATAAGACCCTGTTTAAAGAATCCACTTCATTTTAAAATTAACTTAATAGAAGACAAAATAGCTGTCTTATTCTGATAAAAAAAAAAAAAAAACCCACAATTTGAAGAAATTAACCATTAATTGCATCAAAACAAAATGGGACCTGCATCTACATAACTGATGAAGGTATCTCCAGCACGAATAAATGCATAACCAACTTTCATATCCACCCATGACATTAGCCACTCTCAACATTTCACTTAATTCTGATACCTAGTTCTCAACTATCCAACCAAAACTCTTCACTGAAAGTTTCCATGGATTTCCTACTCTGCCACTGAAGCCACCAGACAGTAGATGTCACATCGAGTGGTCGGGAAAATACATTATTTAGTAGAACCAACAGCTTTTACATATCCAGCAGGGCCTTATTTGCCCGTGCACCAGGTCCAAAACCATGACTACCATCAAATTCTACAAACTTAAGTAGTTAATATACGTAGCCCCAGAGAGACTAAAACCTACCAGAGGGATGAAACATCCAAGCAGCACCAAAAGTTAGAACTCCAAACCCCCTCCCATCTCTCTCTTTCTCGTCAAGTAGAATCTCGGCCTAAGCTTGCTAACAACTTTACTAGGTAAGGGTGTTAAAAAGACACCCAATCCACATAAAAGATAAAAGAAATTATAACTGACAAGAGTAAATGAATGATAGAGAGTACCTTGCCAGCCACTTCTAAAGACTTCTGATAAAGTTCATTTGAGGGTTCCTACAAAATGCAAAATTATTCAATCTCACATCTAAAACCACATCACCATGAGCTTGCATTAAGGCACCATGAAGGGGAAAGAAAAAAAGAGAGATAGACTATACCTCATCAACAGCTTGCTGAAAGTACTGAGTTGCCTTGCTGAAATACTCTTTAGCCTCCTCCAAGTCAGGAGTCAAAAAAGCATGAGAAGTATGAGCGTTTCCCAGGCACCATAAAGTATCATGTCTGTTGGGGCTAACCACCAATGCCTCCTCCAGCTTTGAAACCGCATCTGTTATATCAGTAAATTATAATCCCATAACAGCATATTACACTCTAAAAACCACTTTCCAACCAATTAACCAATCCATTAGCAAGTTACTCCTACAGCATAAATATAAAATCAAGAAATGACCCAATAACTTATATATTGATTTCTTAATAAAAACACACCGAACTTTGGCAAAAAATGAAGGGCACTCGTAATGTTAAATTGGTAAAATTCATCAAACATTCATTCTACATTACTATTAATATCCTGTATCAATTTTCCGCTAAATGCCACCAATATTACGTATCACTATTCTGTAACGTCCCAATCACGTAGTTTTCGATGAAAAGCAATCTCATAAAATGAAATAATTGTTATATAGAAAATAAAAGTACCTAAAATCATCTTCTTCGAATCTGCAATATTTTGAAACTGAGACAACTCTAGCAGAGCCCCTCCCCATTTCGTTAAATTCTGCAACCAAAAAAACCGAGATTAAACAACGAAATAAAACAACACGAACATAAATAAATAATTAAATAAATAAAATCAAGGAAAACAAACATCGGCATCGAGAGGATTCTTGGCGTATGTAGCTTCTGCGGTTTTGCGAGCGTGCTCGAAGATCAGCAACCTATCGAAATCGCTTTGCATGTCCATGGCTTCAGTCTTGCTCTCTGTTCAAGGGTTTTGTACGGACAAATGATCCAAGGAACGACGGTTTTGTGTTGTAACCCTAGTGAGAGAGCATGAAAGTAGTAGCTTAAGTCGGTTTAGGTTTTATGGTCAAGTCACAATTTTTAAATTTAAAAAAAAAAAAAAATTATTATACTTTAATACTATTTGTAAAAACATGCTAAATTGCTCTATACGACTAATTCTTATATCTTATAAATTTATTTTATTTTATTGATAATTCTCGTCCTGAAAAAATTATGGTTGGATTATATCGTTTTAGTTTAAAAAAAAAAAATCATTTAGAAAACAACCTAAACCCAATTTATGTGTATGAAAAGCCCAACTTGTATAGTATAAGCCCAATTTATGTGTATGAAAAACTCAATTCGTAAACCATTGGGCCTCCAAGAATAAAGGATCCGTTTGGTTTACAATTTTGTGTTTTTGAGAAAAGTTTTTAAAAAAAGTTAAAAAAAAGTTGAATTAGACGGGTATTACGATGTAGGATTTATAAATTAATAAAATACTCCCTATGTTTATTTTTTTACAAAATACCCCCTATAATAAAACATTAAAAGTTAACAAAAACATCCCCAATCTACCCTCAAATACGGACAGCCGGCCACCACTGCCAAAGAGTGGTCAGAGTCGCTGTATCGATGACCTTTTTCGGCCAGATCCACGGTGGATCTAGTTGGCAAAGGCCAGATCTACGACTAGATCTGGCCATTGACGGCCAGATCTGCTTGTATTTGCTCGTCAACGACGGCCAACAAACCGTCGTTGTTGATGGTCAACGACGACCATTTGTTAGCCGTCATTACTGACTGGTTACGGCCAAAGATCTGGCCAGAAAAGGCTAGATCGGCGCACTACCAGCCAGATTCAGCCGGTCCTGGTGGATCTGGTCGGAAAAGGCTAGATCGACGCACTACAGGCCAGATTCAGCTGGTAGTGCGCCATCTTACCAGATTCCGGCCATTTTTCGGCAATGGTGGCCGAAATCTGGTAAATGTGGATTATTGAGGTGTTTTTGCAATTTTTTAAAAAATATTTAGGGATATTTAATTAAATTAACAAATTTTGGGGGTTTAAAAAAAGTTGAATAATATCGAATAATATTATGAGTTTTTGAGTATTTTACTGTTTAACTTTTTTGGGAATACTAAAAGTAGTATTCCCAATTGCCAACCAAACGAAGCCAAAAATCACTACCATCTTCCAAAATATATTAACGTGAGGGTATTGCATGGTATTTACAAACATTACTAATTCAGTAATTCTTATGGCATGATTAATGAATTAACTTTAGTTACTTAGGGTGTGTTTGGATCAGGGGCATATAAGATAACGGGAGTAATTTTTATTTATTTTGCAAGATTCTGGTATTTGGTTTGCAAGTAATAAAATATGACGAATATCTTTTATTGCAAATAGTATTTACTGTTGGTACTATACGGGGTAATCTGATACCCTCCCCCAAGGCTATTATTAAAAGATTACTAGGTAATCTGATTTTTATACCTAGTTTGGCCTTAATTAAATACTATTTCGGACACAATTGTCCTTAAATATCTACCAAATAACAATACATAAGCCCCCTACATTTGAGAATTTAGCTAAAATACCACAGTCATAAAAAGTTTAAAAATTAACAAAATACCCTTAGCCACTCAAGACCACCGTCCACCATTACTCACCATAGCCGCCCGCCAGCGTCAGTCGCCGTAATGGCACACAATTGGTGAGACTGAGATCTGACAGATCATACGCCGATAAGGCCTTTTCCAGCCATGGATCACAGATCCATGACCGTCATTTCACGACCATATCTTTGGTCATGAAATGGCCATAGATTTGGTTGTGAAATGGCCATGGATTTGTGACCCTTTTATGAAAATGGCTTTGTCGATGCACGACCAGCCATATATGACCAGTCGTGCGTCATTCCATCGACTGCCATTGGCGGCCGGCAGTGGTGGTGGCTGGCTCCCAACGGTGGCTTGGGATGTGTGGGGGTGAGTTTTCTACTAATTAAAGTTTTATATGGCTGGGGTGTTTTAGCAAAATTTCAAATGGAGGGGGTTAACAGGAATAATTCAAAAAATAATAATTAAAAATAATATTATATTAATAATTAAAAATGAGGGAATTTAGTAATTTATATAACATATCCACCTATTTATCCTTCCAACCAAATATATTATTCACCAATTTATTGGAACCAACCAAACACACTTCCTAAACATTCAAAGTAATCTTCAAGGTGATTTATCTTTTTATTAATACAACATTTTTCTATAATAAAACATTATATGATCCAAACGCCCCTTTATACTTAAATACTGAACCGAGATTAAAAAGGAGATTTTTGAGTTTGTTTGTTTTTATTATTGGGTATTTTCTACCTCAATTTCTAATTTAAATTGTATGATAACAGTAAATTTTATTTACAACAATATTATTTGTAGGATCTTAATGTATGCTTAAAGATACATAATGCTATAGTTACACAACATAATTGAGATATCTAGTTATCATCTACATATTCCTAACATATTTAAGATTTAGAGTAAATGACTTTTTCCCACCCAAAAAATGGCTTAATGATACTTTCCCATCCTCATACTTTTAAAATACCACTTTTCCACAAAAAATACAAACTCTGTTAATAATTTCTTTTAAATACAATAATTTTGATTGGAAAGACAAAAACATCCCCACCAAATTTCAACCCCTAATCGCCAGCCATCGCAAATCAAACTTTCGCGCACAATTCTGATCGACTCCGACAACCATAGTCTGACCTTTTACCACCAAACGAATCACACGTCATCCCTCTTCAATAGTCCTAACAATCTGAACCATGATAGCTCTCTAGTCGCGGAGGACCGTGGTTTAATTCTTTTGTTAAATGGTCGACGTCTAATGAACAGTGACAACCAAGGTCTAAGATGATAAGGCTTTTAGATAGGAGGTTTCGTTGATGCTATAGGTGGTTTTAGGTGGAATTTTCGGCAACCAAATCGGTCAGAATTTGGCTTGGAAGCTTAACGGTCGCACGAACAAAAACTAACAGTGACCGGCGATTGGTGTGCTCAGTGTGGTGGGAAAGTGAGGGGTTTTTGTGAGTGAAGGATGGGGAAGTTGATGGTGGATTCGGTGCTAATCAACAGTGTTGTAATCATGTCGAACCGCCTAAATCGACGATTAGGGTTTGAGAAGGTATCCAACCAAAATGACAATATGACCATTCTACCATTCCTTTTAACTAGCTTTTAACCATCATGCACTTCTTCACAACAAAAATTATTAACAGATTTGTGTTTTGGGTGGTAAAATGGTATTTTAAAAGTCTGAGGATGAGAAAATGTCATTAAACCATTTTTTGGGTGGGAAAAAGTCCTTTACTCTTATGTTTTGAGGGCATAAAAAGATAACACCGATAATTTATCTTATTTTCCGGCAATTACTACATTTTACTGTAGGTAAAAATAGGGGTAATTCAATTACCGTCTTGGAGGGTGTTATTTTTCTATTACTGAGGTAATCAACTGCTCATACCAATTTTACCCTTAATAAATAAACATTTTGGACACAAATGCCCTCATATGTCTACTAAATAACAATTAACGTAAATGTGCAAAATGACTTCTTTAACCTGATATATTAATTTTTTAGACAAAAACACCCTTACTATTTACATGGATAATACCCATAGCCACCAAAGATGATTGCCAGCCATCGGCCACCACCTCCGGCTGTCACCGATCATCATTAGAACTGCGTACGACCTGCTGGATCTAGCCGGTCGTGTGCAAATCTAGCAGTTTTCGGTCAAATCGAAAGTTGAAAATGGTCAGACGATCGTGGATTTGACCAAAAACAACTAGATCCCTTCTTGTCGTTTTCGGCGAGATTCATGGTTGTAAACAACCATAGATCTGGTCGTTAAAAGCCATAATAGATCTGGCCGTTAATGGCCAGAATGAGTTTGGCTTTCCGGCTAGATCCACGACCATCTAATAGTTTTCGACCTTCAATCTGGCCGTTTTCGGCCAGATCGACGCACGGTCAGTCATATTCAGTTTGTCATGTGAATTTCGGCGATTGTCAATAACGGTCGGCACCGACGGTGGTGGCTGGCGGTCGATAGACATCTCGGGCATACTCCGGCTCTCTTCAATTGCCTCTTTGGCCCTTTTAGTTCTGACAATTACCATTACCAAAGTAATTGCGTTTGTTTATATATCTGGAGTAGTATTTTTAAAATATTATTGTTAGGTAGAGTTGGATGGTTATTACGAGATAAAATTTGAAAATTAAAAATAATTCAATAATTTAGGATAAGATTTTGAGAATAAGGAAACAAATATGTATTTTGATTTGGAATATAAATAGGATAAAGAAGCAAACACGTATTTTAGTTATTTGGAATAATATTTTTGAAATATTATTATTAGATAGAGTTGGGTGGTTATTACGAGGTAGTTGGGTGATTATTACGAGATGTGATTTAAAAATTAAAAATAGTTGAATAATTTGGAGTAGTATTTTGAAAATAGGAAAACAAATATACATTTTGATTTAGAATACAAATATAATATTTAAACAAAGGCATCCTATAATATTGTATTTGTAAGTAAATTTTAATTTGGATGGTGAGCTACTGAACTATAAAGATCAATTTTTTTAAATGTGTCTTGATGGTGATCCGCCACCGTTTCAAGTTACACTGCAACCGATTTCACCAACTATATATAAATTCAATAAAAAAAAAAAAAAAGTGATTGGTCGGCTGGTCACGAGACATAGCACAGCAACAAGGGGCTTGTGATCTTTCAGTTAAAGAAGAATTTAGATTGATTAATAACTTATTGACTTTTTGCTCTTTAAAAACAATGAATATGGACTCACTCCCTTGTAATAAAATGATTTGCCAGCTAATTTTATTCAGACTCCACGTTTTTCCCACCATACAGAATGTTTCAAGAATGACACCTATGCTCGCACCTTACTTATGATATACTTTATGCAAAGCTACGTCGTTTTCCTTCCAATTATCTATGATAATCAAGCTGACTTGGATTTTATATCCATTTTTTTAAAAACCATTTTTAAGAATTGGGAAATTAGGATGACGGTGTCAGTGTTGAAGATAATAAAGTCTATGTCTTTGTGGGGGTGAATGGTGATATTTTGATTGATTGGTTTTAGAGAAGCATGAATTGTGTGACGTAAAGTTGTTGACATCAATTGATCAGACGGCACGGAGTCACTCTCTTGCCGACAACTCTATATTTTGTCAACTTTTCTTCAGTAGTTTTACTTTTACAGTGTGACTTAAAGCTTGACCAACGTCACCAACCAAACCTTACAATCCCAATCGCATTTACAGTACGTGCATCTGTATAATATGTCTTGTACCGACAACTAAACTATTATTTTTGCCGGCTATACTTATTATTACGTTTTATTTTTCTTAAAGGAAAAATATTCTCTTTTCAAAAAGAAAAAAAAGAAAAGAAAAAAAAAAAAAACAAACAATGATATTAAACATAAGACAAGATTCTCCATAATAATATTATAAACTTTATAATTATCCAAACTTAAGATGCATAATCATTATTTAATAGATCACTCATAAGTCATAATTATACAAACTTAAGATGTGTAATCATTATTTATTAGATCACTCAGATCAAATAATCTTCAATTTGAAGTTTGAGTTATTATCTTATATAATTAGTATTATATATCCAAATTAGGTTACGTTTTAATGTGTTTTCGTTAATATAATGACCAATTTGATTGGTCATGTAAAATTTGACAACTTCATTATCCTAATCAAATGGATATTAATGTCTTCCTCAATCATTCAAATAAACAACAAGTCTTGTATGTTTTAACTGACGAAGAAATCATTACTTTAATTAGACAAGAAGAGAAAAAAGATAATTCTGAAAATGATAGTATGAAAATGTCAAAAATTTTATGTCAAAAAGCTCTAAACATGCTTGATACTAGCGACTTTTTACGTATCCGTAATATAAAAGATATAATAACAATTTTAAAACATAAATTATTATCCCAAACAATTTTAAATAAATATTTTTTAAATTTATAAATCAAAATATGTGAAAAAAAAAAAAAGAATTTGGTAACACTCGTGGCGCGTAGACATGAAATAAAATCACAAATTATAATTTTAATTCAAAATGGTGACATCAGGCCACAACCACGAAATAATAAAATTATAAAAAATAATTTCAAAATTTAAAAAACGAATTAGAATGGCAAAAGCCGCAATTACACAACTCTCGAATGGCATTCCCGGCATTACAAAGTATAAATACCATAAAAATCCTTACACAGTTTCTCTCTCTCCCTCTCTGTGCATTGTCTCGCAGGTGTCACAGTTTGGCAGAGATAGTAAAGGTAAACTCTTTCTCTCTCTCTGTCTTGGATCCCGAAATCTAGGGTTCTTTGTTTTCACTCAAATTCCACGTAATTTCTGCAGCTCAATCAAGCTCCTTCGTTTTCGCATTTTGGAACGGTTTTACTTGGTACTAGTTTGATGTTTCTGTACTAGTCTTTGTCTTTGTTAGATTCCTTGATTTTTGTTCAGCTTGTTACTCTCTCTGTTGTTGATTTTGTTGTTTTTGTGCTAAGGTAGTTTGCTTTTTGTGGTTTTCGTAAGTCGATTAGTTCATGCTAGACCTAAATTTGAAGAATTGTTTTTTTTTTTTTTAAGTCAAATTGAGTTAATATTTGATTTGTACTGTTTGGTTTATGAAAAAATCGTGGATTCAACAGATGTGAAGAGTATCGACTTAAATTAATAAGGTGGGCCGATCTGATTTAATATGTAAAGGATCATTTCTAGTCCTGACGTTTGCTTATCTTTTGGCTGAGCTTTGGTGTTGATGTCTTGTATTTTTCTGGTTAGAAATTGAATCCGATGGTGTATCTCCGCTTTCTCTAGTATTTACTTCGTTATGATTTTTTTTTTTTTTTTTTCAAGATTCTGTTCATTGAGGGGTTTTGTAGTTTTACTTTAAAATTGATTGGGGAGCACTTCTTGAATACAATTTTATGCACCTCTTATGACTTTTCTCTTGTTATTTTGACCTGCAGACTTTGGAAAATGAAATACATAATAGAATTTCTCTCTTTGGTTTGTTATTGCCGTCTTTATTCCTGATGTTTGAATTGAATTTTCACCTAGTAGAACATATGGTTTCGTCTTTTCCGTTTAGTAAAGCCCTTTTATTATTAAGTTGTATTAATGACTAGATACTTAATTGATGTGGTTATTGTTATTTTGATCACGCTTAGTTGAGATAAATTTGGAGTTGCCATTTTTCGTTTCTGTACTTCACTTACTTGGTGCTATAACTTTGCATTGAACTATTTATTTAATATCTATTCTATGCTTTCCTTCTCATTCTTAAGATATATATACGTATAAATAAGGTTCTATCTTTGTGCTGTCATTTAGGGTTTGCAAGATGGACAACATGCATGGCTTTTGGCAATTGGGTGATGAGCTTCGAGGACAATCGAAAACTACGGAGGATCAATCATGGGTAAGGGCTGCCTCAAGGTTGGCTGAGCAGACAAGATTGAAAGGGGAACGCATGAATAATCTTGATCTTTCAAAGGGCACAACAGAACTAAGGCCTAGGGATAAAATTATGTACCATGAAGATAACAATTATGAACACTTTAACTTAAACTTCAACATGCTGAATCTGGACTCCAAAGTTGCTGAAAATGTGAGCAAAAGTTCCTTCAGGAATGGTATTTACAACATGAATGCAGTGTATCAGAAAAACAGTGGGCATAATATGGGAAACCTGATGGTTAACAAGTATAGTGGCAATAATCTGAGTGTCAAAGAGGCCGACAACAATAGCAATAACAGCAATGATAACAACAACAGTGCAGTTGACAAAAGGTTCAAGACTTTGCCTGCCACAGAAACACTCCCACGAAATGAGGTGCTTGGAGGATACATCTTTGTCTGTAACAATGATACAATGCAGGAAGACTTAAAGCGTCAGCTATTTGGTAATCATTGTTATCATTGTTACTTGTTTTACCTACCCATGTAAAGGCACTTACATTTTTGCAACCAGTTCATAGGTAGAAAATTGATAATATTGATATTTGTTCATTTGACTTAAAACTTAATAGGTAATGTATTTATTGTTTTTGCTATGAGTCAAGTATTAAATGCCTTAATTGTTGTGATTATATATCAGACCATGCAACATAACTTTCTGTAATCACCGTAATATGCATTCCCTATTAGACTTTAGTTCCTTTATTGATATGTATAATTCTCATGTATTGGTTATTTTTATGTTTTAGGTTTGCCTCCGAGATACAGGGATTCAGTTCGAGCAATAACGCCAGGCTTACCTCTGTTTCTTTATAATTATACTACTCACCAATTGCATGGAATTTTTGAGGTTTTTTTTCCCTACTTCATTCCCTTTCATTTGATGGTAGCATTAAATTCGGAAATGATTAATATGATACGATGTAGTTATTAAAAAAAAAAAAAAAAAAAAAAAAAAAAAAGATGTACTGAACAAAATAGGACAAGTTTTAATATGGTCATGATTAGGCAAGTTGTGTATTTTTGTAATTTGGTCTTCTAATTTATTTTTTTGGTAACTTATATGTCTTGAACATTGTGTTTCCCAAATTGGTCTTGTATAGGCAGCAAGTTTTGGAGGTTCCAACATTGATCCGACGGCCTGGGAAGATAAAAAGTGTAAAGGAGAGTCAAGGTTTCCTGCTCAGGTAAAACTTGGGTTGATGATTTGTGGATTCCTTTATTCTGTATCAGTGGGGACTTTACTGACTGTAACCCTGCTTTCTCCTTTTTCCCTTCAAAAATAATAAATAGGTAAGGATCCGTGTTAGAAAACTATGCAAGGCATTGGAAGAAGATGCTTTTAGACCAGTCTTGCATCATTATGATGGCCCGAAGTTTCGTCTTGAGCTCTCAATTCCTGAGGTACAATCAAACTTTCATTTATTGCTATTCTCTCCACTCAATTTCTGTGTCATGTAAGCTTTGATAGACACTGACTTGCATCATCCAAGGGTCATGAAATTTTATGTGCTGGTTTTGCAGACTCTGGATCTGTTAGACCTTTGTGAACATGCGGGCACTGCATAAGCAAAATATATTAGCAGAAAATACAAATGTAATAGGCTGTGTGGTGGATGTAAGCTGCCTGCTTTTCTCCGATTTTCCTAAAGAGCGCAAGCTTGGGTTCTAGTCTGTGTTGTATGAATCTTCCTGGGAAAAGTAGGAAATGTTGTGTGAGGCAACTAAATAAATGTAATATTTGTGTCGCATGGAGGTACTTCTGAAGCATTTGCTTTATGTATTATGTGTATTATGTGGAATAGTGTTGTAGTCTTATAGACAGACTTGCAAGATGTTAAAAGAGAAGAATGAGGGACTCAAAAAGGTGAAGGCCCCGAACATCTCTATTCTGTGCATGTAAACTGTTGTTTCTACACTTGTCTTCTGCTTGTAATGTTAATTTGGATAAAATGGAGATCATTGTAACCTCGTGGAAATTCTAATCTTTTAACCTGTCTTTGACCTAACCTCTCGTGTAGCAAACAAAGCTACTGGGAAATTTAAAGGCCGTGTCATACCGCATCCGCATGTCATATTTGCCTGCAAGCTTTCAGGGTTTTACATTGATGCAAATTTCAAATTAATGAGCGAAAATATACAAGTAAAGAGGTAAAAATTTGACAGGACAAGAAAAATATTTCAATTATCAAATCATAATTATTCACAAGTATACACGGACACTCCAGGTTTCAATTTGAACATGACACAAAATAAGACCGGAGGCCGGACCAACTGGTAACTCAGACATTGGTAATTGAAATTCAATAGGAACACCAAAACCTGAACTTCAAGCCCTATGCAAATATCAATTCGACATGAAACCTGTCTTTTGTTTCATTATGCAACATTTGGGCTAACCTTCAAGCCGCTGCATTCTGCTATTCCATTATGAATGCAGCTTTCTCTATCCTTGGAGAAACCTGTGCTGTGGATGACGACTGTAAAATAAAAGATGACTTCAAACTGATTCAGTAAGATCTTTGTAACTCTATTACAACTTCACACTAGAAAATTTGTACTGACACTCAAAGAGCAGCTGATGCAAGAAATGTATGGATTCTTTGCAACAATTCAGCCTTTATCGCATCAGGTATACAAGCTGCATGAAAAGCAGTTGATTAGTTTCAGAGTTGATGAATGATATAGTAAACAACAAAAAAAGAACAGGTTCCACTACTTCACTTCATAAGATAAGAACTATTGCACCAATCATATCAAATTCAGGCAATTAAATTCCCTTTTATTGTTCATTGACAATTAGAAATTTAGCACATCAATTGCCTAACAAGTAACAAAGTCAAATTCCTTTCATTTTTCATTAAAATAAAAAAAAATTCTTACCTCTGCCCTTTGGTGTAATTACGTGTACAAGATCATCCACAGTAACATTATTTCTCCCTTTCTTCTTTATATATGCCCTACAAAGTCAAAGAGATTTTTGAGATGTTAACAAGACAAAATGAGGAACTTGATAAGAACAACTCAAATATGTTGGATGTATAATGAGCAAAACATCCATGTTTGAGGGATGTAACCAAAACAAGTATACGATTTTAATAAAAAAACAACTTGCCAAGTAAAAGTGTTTCAAGCAAAGTATGAATTCGGGTAAAGTTTCCTAGAACTACAGGAAGCATCTGAGTCTTCCTCAATCCTTCTATCATGTTCCCACAAAATGCCTGAAAAGCTATGTCCACAGTACTCTCATCCACCAACCACAAATTAGCTTTACACCATCTATAGCACACCTCAACAATTGCTGATGTATAGATAGATACACGTGTTCAATACTCTCAGCAACTGCATAATGGAGGTAAGGTGATTGGCAAACTCAATACATCTTACTCATGCTAATAGGTGACCGATGTCAGGTGAAATACCTAGGTGATGGTGTCAAATACGAAGAATATCAACTGAACTAGATGACATCCTCAGGGTATGATAAGGATCTGTTTCTCAGTTGTAACAAAAGGATCATGCTTCTCTCCCTGCCTAGCAATGTGATCAATATAATGTACATGACAGATTGATCTCTCAATTTCAACTGAAGAAATATCATAGTGCATGCCAGCATGACTCTCTTGATTTTAACTTCACAGGGATCCTTTTAAGAGAGGAAACACAAGGTAGCAAAATTTCACGGCACCATACTCTTTAAATAAAACGGTTGAAAGGAAAACACATAACCAGGTCGTAAGGAGTTCTTTAAATGAAAAGAGGACACATTTTAGTGCTACTCTTGGTCTGCCTAACCTAACCAAAGCCACAATAGTCGAGCTAGTAATTTCAGAGGGTAGATGGCTCCGTCATCCATCGCCAGGCCACAGAAAGCTTCTAATACATCTAATTCATTCATATATTCTCACTGGCCACAATATTCTACATGTTATCATCTAATAATCTACACCAACATCTTATGTTGAACATTGCTCCTACTTTTATCCATATTTGATAAAGAACTTGACAACCAAATAATTCAAAAAATGCTAAGGCTGCAACCATTCACTACACAAAAACAATAATAAGAAAACAAATCAATAATGATAAACTAGAAACCAAGGCAGTTAGATAAATCATTTTATTCAATACAAACAAAAATCATTTACTAATGATAGTAGCAGTGAAATCAAAGTAACTAAAACCTGCAAAGAGCTCGCATTTCATCTTTCCACCCACAATCTATAAGCCTTTCTCGCAGAAGTTCCATTAACCTCTCTTTTTCTCCACTCTCAATTAACTATGGATGAAAAAAATGATATCCACAATCAAAAAAAGAAGAAATATCACAATCCAAAATAATACTAATTACAAATTCTCAGTTAGTTATTGTAGCAAAAAGAAGGGAAAGAAACAACCTTAATGCCAATGATTTCTTGAAGGGAAGGCTCTTTTGATTGGTCCTCCACTGCATCTGGCGTGGGAGGTAGATTCACAGAATTTCTCCTTTTAATCGAGAAAAAAAGTTAAGATACAACATTTGTAAATGTAATTCTAAAATGTCGATTTCAATATAACTGATTTCTTGGAAAAGCTAAGCTTTCACTTTCAAGTGACGGTATTTTCAATGAAACAGAGGAAAAAAAAGTTGAACGCGATTCAAGAAAATGAGAGAGTACTTACATGTGTTAATGGCTAAGCAAAGACAAAGCTAGAAAATCTCGAGCAATCACAGAGTGGTTTATCACAGAAGGAGGAGGAAGAAGAAGAAAGAGGGTAATTATCCAGAAACGGCGCCGTTTAGAAGGAATAATAGTTAAGAGCCGATACGCTCCGTTTCGATTTTTTTTTAATGGGATGTGTCTAATTAATAGCTTTAAAAATGAGTAGATTTTTGTTAATAAACCAA